TATAGCATGAAACTGTCGCCTCTAAGTGTTGACTTCTATGTTCACTTTTATATTTACACACGCTCTATCTCTGATATCGAGCACTTTATCCCATAAATATAGCACACCTTAAGACTATATTTCTTCATATATATATATATATTCTGTTTATGTTCACATGGACGATTTCCAAGCAAAGACCAACTCGTGCATACGAGACGGCGGAAGCGAAAATCGCACCGCAATCCTATCATTATTGTTTTGTCCGTGTATTGTTTAATATATTGTAATGTAATTGTCATCTTTGACAATGGCTTATGAAACCGAAAGCTTAGATTAGGTTTGCGGTGTGATTTTCGCTTCCATCGTCTCGTATGCTCGAGTTTGTCTTTGCTTGGAAATCTTACATGTAAACATAAACAGACTTTCATGATTGTTTTTTCCGTGTATTGTTTAATATATATATATATATGTGTGTGTGTGTGTGTGTGTGTGTGTGTGTGTGTGTGTGTATTGCGTATATTTTGGCGGTATGTTTTCATTAAGACAAGTTTCATTAAATAATTTAGGCAAGTTTTGTCTGTTTATTTTTAATATGATCCTCTCATAATTACGGACAAGTTTCTTAGTATCCTTATTAAAGGAAGAAAGAAAATTATTATATTTTTTGGCCATACCACCACTACGTTGTCTCGAACGTTGAATTTCCATTTGAATGATGCATCTAAAATCCCTCAACATTTACAACAGTATGTCTGTCCACATTCACAATTTAGAAAAATTCTTGTTGTAAATATATCTATACTTTTTCATGAAAATAATAAACATAAACTAAACATTTTTAAGGCCGTCTATATTAAAATTTGAAACCAACCCTTAAGAAAATTAATTATGAATACTATAAAAATGTTTTAAAATGTTTACAGTACCAAGTTTAAAATCTAGGTTTTAACTAAGAGTTTTAAATAGTTTTTTTCTTTTTAAAAATATTTAGACATTACAATAACTTAGTTAACTCTCTCGATGTTTGTACGTGTATCTTCATGATAGAATATAATATTGAACAGTATATAACTTTAGAACAGTGCTCCAAACTTTTCACTTGTTGAACTCTCTTCCATGAACAGAGAGGAACCGGGATGAGGCTTTGCCGAGGACAAAGTTTCATCCGGGGTGGTAGACAGACCTTGAATCCGCTTATGCGGGTTCTAAGGGAATATTTTTGGCCGAGACTACGGGCTCAGAGAACCCACGGTAAACTCGGCCTTGTGCCACATACATCCCTCTTCTGTTTAATATTAATAGTATATAACGTTAGAATTTTTTCACATCATACGTAAAAAATTTAATTTTCAGTTTAACACAATAATTTTGTCTTAGAAAGATGATGAACATCACATTTTTGAGTCTTAGAAAAAATACGATTCTGATGAGGTCATTGTGCTCGGAGTAAAATAAATATGCATCAAAATCTTCACTGCCAATTCAAGAAAGTCATTCGGATTACTAACACAAAAACAGAGAATGTCTCATATCGAGAATATTTAAAATTGAAAAACATAAGGAAAAAATTAATTATTTTTAATAATATGTGGAAATCTTCGCCTTTTACCTGAAGACGGTCCCGAGACCAGAAACACGTGTAGTAAAATTATGGAAAATAAAGCATAATGTTTTTTTTTTAAATCCACATTACAAACATACCTCTCTTCTCTTCTTTTTAATATACACACTTTTCTCTCGTTGGAACCACTATAACGTCTTTTCTTATATATATATATATATATATATATATATATATATATATATATATATAAATATATATATATATATATATATCAGAGAGCAGGACATCATTCGTGAAGCATCTCCTTCCAAAACAACTTCTTTTTGGATCAAGTGCGTGTAAATATTAACGAAAGTTGTCAGCATGCTACTCCTCTCAAGTATAACCTTACCAGTCTCTGTCATCCGGTTTTCTGCTGTATGAATAACCTTATCTCAGCTGTGCTAAGTCCTTTATGTTTCTGCACGTGAAAAAGTCCGATTCAACACTTGGTGGCTTTGAGATTACCTTCTCTCTCAATGCTCGTACCTCCTATCCTACAACGCGGCTTACGACTGCATCATCTTGAAACACCGGTTTCTGTACGATTACCGAAGTTGAGCAACGACCTCCTGGAAATACCAACAGCTCTAAGCTTGGATATGAAAGTGTTATAGTGGATAGTGGCTCGCGATTTTTCATCGAAGAACTGAGTTCCAATTTCAATTGGGTTCGTTATATTCACTTATACGCAAATACCGTTGGGAATGGTATGAGTCCATCTTTTCTCCCTCCAGCTATGGTTTAAGTACTAAGACTAAATCACTAAAATCATTATTATTTGAAAACAACTCAGGACTGAGACAAAAAGACCCAAGAGAACTCAGTGGCAGTAAAACATAACTTGTTGATAACCGAATAAAAGTAATTTATTAAGGATAAAAACCTTAATTAGTGAACATTTTTTCTTCAAATGATGCATTTGAAAAGGTATTATGCAAAATAGGGACCAGTTTTTTGTTATTAATTATTTTTTAATAAAGTAGATTGAAAAACGCCAAATAAAAAGAAGTTTTTTGTTTTTAATCATTTTAATATAATAAATCGTAACGTAGTTTATTATTTAATAAAGTAAATCAAAAGTCTTATTTTTTATATGTCAATTTACTTCATTAAGTTATAATTCATAATAAATTACTTTTATTCGTTTATAAAAAAAAAAAAGTTATGTTTTTCCGGTGATGAGTTGTCTCAGTCTTGAGTTCTCCCGGCGCTCAGTCGGTGGTGTTGAGTCGGCGATGTTGAGTCGGTGGTGTTGTGTTGGTAGTGTTGAGTCGGCGGTATTGAATCGGTGGTGTTGAGTCGGTGGTGTTGAGTCAGCGGTGTTCAGTCGGCGGTGTTGAGTTGTCCTGCATTGAACAACGTTGATCACTTCAAGTCAGGAGTCAATTATCCTCACAATTTCAATTTACGAAAAACCCCAGTTTCATTCAAGTCACACACCTCATTCGATATTAGCATTTTGACCGTACCGCTCTACCTGGAAAGGCTCTCGAGTCATAAATTGGGTGAATGTTAGTATTAAAAAAAACCTTCTACCAGTTCAGACTTTTACAGCTAGGATAGGCAATGCTACTTCCATGGAGTTGAAGCATCCGCATTTCCCACGCATTGCAAATGTAAGAAGAATGTTTCACTTCATTTTCGCAAGAACAACCACGTTCTGGAATAGATTCCCACGTTGGTTCCTACTTGAACACTTCGACATCTAACACTTCAATTCAAGCCTCAATCATCATATCTCCTTTCTTTCTTTATAATATTTCACTTCCTTCTACTCTCTCTTCATTTCGTATCTCATACTTCATTCATCATTACTATTTGCAATCTATACTCTACCTTGAGTGGCTCTCGGGTCTTGTATTAACTAAAATTTTGTAAAACAAATAAATTAATAGAAATCTGATATAATTCAATATCTATGCTTGTTACATCAGGAAAGTCCATTTTTCTAAAGATATGGAAGTTTTCTTTTCTTTATTTTTCATTTTTGGACTTATTTTTGCATTATTATTATTATTATTATTATTATTATTATTAGATGCAGCTGTTGAATTTCGGTAATATTGTGAATGGAAAAGAAATTAATATCAAAAATGGCGATTTCTGCTTTCGTAGAAACAAGATTAAATCTAGAAGAACCTATAAAGTTCTTCCCACCTGACACCCGAGAAAAATCAGTTTTCAGCAAAGAGTCAGTTTTGATTACATCGTTTCTGCAACCAGAAAATCGATTGGATAATCATTCTAATCAGATAATTCTAAAGGATTTCAGACAGGATCGCAGGACACCAAAGAAAAATAACATTCGTTTTTTTATTTGTTTTTTTTTTATTTCTTTTTTTTTATTTCTTTTTTTATGTCTTCTTATCTTAGAAATATTTTATATTCTTTGTTATGGTATAATTCTTACTTTACTTTTTTTTTCTATTGATTAACCTTTGTTAATCTGTCCTTTAGCTCTGTTCAGGGGCCGACGGGAAGGAAAAAAAAAACAAGTGAATTCCTCCATGTTTTATAAGCATTCATTCGCAAGTCTTGAACGGGCGAGAAAGAGAAGAGACACAAGACAGGATGGAAAATATCAAAAACAAATCTGATCTCTCAAAATAAGGATATAAGAACTTTCTCGTGGAATAAAAAGGATTTTTTTTTTTTTTTTTGTTGTTTTTCGGTTGTTTATTTTTCTGTCATTTTTAGCTGAATTTAAATATTGATTTTACGTGCTAAATAAAAAAAAAATGATGAAAACAGATATTTTTAGCATAAAACAAATCAATAAAGTGATATCTTCTTCTTCTTTTCTTCTTCTTCTTCCTTTCTTCTTCTTCTTTTTGTCTTCTTCTTCTTCTTCGTCTTCTACTACTACTACTACTACTACTACTACTACTACTACTTCAGTTGTAACCTAATTCCTTCTTTCTTTCCTTCCAACACTACCTCCTCTTCTTCTTTAATATTTAACCACCATCTTTTTTTTTTTCACTTTTTAAAATCCCTCCTACTTCTCTTCTTCGATCTTCTCATTTTCTTAATATCACTTTTGTTTTCCTCTTTTTTTACTCTTTCTCTTGACCTTTTACCTTTCATGATCTTTCTCTTGATTAACGTATTTTTCCTTATCTCTTTATTTCCAAATTCTTATGTGGCTTCTCTAATTTATTCCCCCCACCACCACCACATCCGCGAATAACTTCACTTTTCAACTTTTGTGTCTGCTGCTTTTCCTCTTGTTTCCATCGCTTTTTCTTTACTCTTCTTCTTTGTTTAATATCATGCGCCATCAATCGAAACTAGTGATTGCGAGAAAGTTCGAATTAGAGAAAAGGAGATAATATATTTCATTTCTTGACACCTCTTTTCATTCCAGTTTTCAATGATATTATTGAAAGCGAGATCTCTTCAATCAGAAGAATCAGGCACATTTTCGGAAAAAGAAAGAAAGAAAGAATAAGAAAGAAAAAGACACAAAAAGGAAAGAAAGAAAAAAAGAAATAAAGAAAGAAAAACTAACATGAAGAAAATATGAAAGAAAACGACGCAAAGACAAAGAAAGAAAGAATATGAAAGAAAAGGACACAAAAAGAAAGAAAGAAAAATGAAAGAAAGAAAAAAGAAAGAAAGAGAAACTAGCAGAAAGAAAATATGAAAGAAAACGAGGCAAACACAAAGAAAGAAAGAAAAAAGAAAGAAAGAATATGAAAGAAAAGGACACAAAAAGAAAGAAAGAAAAAAGAAAGAAAGAAAAAAGAAAGAAAGAAAGAGAAACTAACATAAAGAAAATATGAAAGAAAACGACGCAAACACAAAGAAAGAAATCAAAAGAAAGGAAGGAAGAAAGAAAGAAAACAAATTCTAAAAGGAGACAAACTAAACGAATCAAATAAACAAAAAGAGATAAACTAATAGAAAGAAAGGCAGAAAGGAAAAATAAAATAAAAGTGTGACAAGTTAGAGATAAACTAAAAGTAATTGAAATAAACTAAGAAAAAACCAAAATAGAGACAAGATAAAAGAAAGAAAGAAAGACTGAATGAAAGAAATACTATCTCTGAAAGAAGGAAATAAAAGCTACGAGAAAGAAAGAGAGACAAACTAAAAGAATGAAAAAATGAATGAATAAATGAAAGAAATACTATCCCTGAAAGAAGGAAACAAAAGCTATGAGAAAGAAGGAGAGACAAAGTAAAAGAAAGAAAAAATGAATAAATGAAAGAAATACTATCTCTGAAAAAAGGAAAGAAAAGCTACAATAAAGAAAGAAAATAGAAATAAAAGGAAAAAAATTATCTCTCTTACCCATAAGAAGTATTACTTTTGAATATACCTTCCATACCTTAGACATCTTAAGGACAAGGGTATTATTTACAAGGCTTAACATATTTTCCTAAAGTAATCAATAAAATACAGTTGTTTTGTACATTTCCTGAAATTGGGGAGGGCCATGATATTTGTTTTGTTGAGAAAACAGTATCGAGATTTGCGAAAGGCAGCTTAGATCAGTTAAAACGAAATCGAGGAAAATAATGTCCATTATTGTATGATGTCAATTTACAATGGCGACAGAGCCTAGATCAGTCTATTAGGAAAGTTGAATGTTTACCTGGAACAGAAAACTGGCACATAGATAGATATGAATATACCAAGAGAAATTGAAACAGATTCAGATAGATAGATAGATAGATAGATAGATAGATAGATAGATAGATAGATATGAATATACCAAGATATTGAAACAGATTCAGACAGAAAGATGCACACACACACACACACACACACACAGATAGATAGATAGATAGATAGATAGATAGATAGATTACAAGAGATTGAAACAGATTCAGATAGATAGAGACACACACACACACACACACACACACACACACACATATATATATATATATATATATATATAAAGAGAGAGAGTGAGACAGAGGATAGATAGATAGATAGATAGATAGATAGATAGATAGATAGATAGATAGATAGATAGATATGAATATACAAAGATATTGAAACAGATTCAGACAGAAAGATGCACCCACACACACACAGATAGATAGATAGATAGATAGATAGATAGATAGATAGATAGATAGATAGATAGATAGATTCCAAGAGATTGAAACAGATTCAGATAGATACACACACAAACACATATATGTGTTTATATATATATAGAGAGAGACAGATAGATAGATAGATAGATAGATAGATAGATAGATAGATAGATAGATAGCAACCAAATGAGACATATAAAATGAACACATTAAAAGAGATTGATATATGTATACATAGTTATATAATTGCATAGATATCCTCATTACAATTAAATCCTAGATCTGTACAAGCAGAAATAAATTGACGTACAAACTAAAACAGAATACAAAAGAAATCTTTTTTTTTTTTTTCAAAGTCCGAAACTTGAATCAGTGCGAATGGCCCACGTGATTATATTTTTTTCTTATCGACTCTGGTAATATGTATACAGCAGCCATCCTAGTTTATCTGCTTTGCTGCTTGCAACGGGAAGGAGGCAAAAGTTATTCAATGAGACTTGCTTCTGTTAGATAGCGAAAGGGAAAGTTAACGGATATAACGACTGATAGTTTGGGTCATATAAAGCTGTCCGGCATTTTAAACCAGCACAGCTCAAAATGTGGGTGGGGGTGTAATTTTCGGATCAGAGACCAAGGAAGTGGAACCTGGGGAGCAGGGAAGAGGTGGGAGCGATGTAGCTAAAAGCCCAACCAAGAAGACATATTCCAGAACTAATCAATATCATTTTATATATATATATATATTTTTTTCTTTTACCATTTTTGGAGATAACACTTGCAGACATTCTGTATATTTGCAATGGGTAAGATTTATAAAGATAGGCGACCTAAAGAATAAGCCAGATTATATCGAATTAT